ACATTGCAGGGGGCTAAGGGCTCCTTGCCAGGCTCTACCAATAGGGGGTGCTGGTTTGGGGGGAGGGGAAACCCAAGACAAGGCATCCCTCTACATCACCTCTCCACCCCAGCCCGCAGCTCAAATGCCATCCTCTCTCCTTTCACCAAAGGCCATGTCTTCCCATGAGGTTTTCTCCCTCCCGTCGTGCACCAAACTTCCTCAGCCCCCTCCTGGCCACTCACCAAGAGGCCCCCTTACCTGAATCACTGCCCAGCTAACTGCTTCTTAGGCCCGGGCCCCAGTTGCCAGTGTCCTTCTGACACCTTTAGGACTCCCTGCTATTTGCTCCTACCACTCCAGGCACCTACTAAATGTTTGTAGAAAAATAATAATAATCCTGCCATCCCCACAGAACAGTGAGCTAGAGCCCCATGAAGAGCAGGTCTCAGTTCTATGCTTGCTGAAAAGATAAACGAATATACAAAAAGATAAATGAAAGCAGGGCATCTATAGCTTTTTGTTTCTGGAAAACCGAAATATCCCAAAGTTCGTTCCTTTCGCCACTGGGCCATCCTACCCTTAAGAATTCCATGGGACATGCAAAAGCTTCAGGGGAGAATTAAGGTGATTTGGAGCAGGACAGACAGCCTTGGAGTCTGGGCAGAGACACGGAAAGAGAGGAGACATCACAGGTCACAGCTGCATGAGCAGGGACAAAGGCAGAGGAAGAAATGGCTTCTATCAGCTCATGCTGCACCCCAAGCCCTGTGCTGAACACTCAGGCTTAGAAACTTTGGGAACCAGGTCTACCTGGGGCCCGCCCGGTTATGTCGCTTCCTAGTTCTGTGACTTTAGACAAGTCACTTACCCCATCTGAGCATCAGGACCCTCATCTGTAAAATAGTAATAGAGCAGAGCCTCACGTATGGCCAAGGTGAAGTGAGATGATACACATATGCTGCTCAGCCCAGCTGTCATCTTGAAAACAAAGTGCTGTTTATGTAACTCACTGAACAGTGTCTCCTGAGCACCTCCTATGTGACTGGCTCTGGGGAAGCTGTAAGAGGACGGCTCCTGCCCTCGAAGTGCTGGGAAGAGAGATGCCTTAACCAGCAGTGGCTGGACTGTGCTGTGGGCCAGGGGATCCCAGGAAGGACCCATCACCTGCCCAGGTTCTGGAAGGCTTCCCAAAGGAAACCACTGTGTGGAATTAGTTCTACCTTACCGATGAGAAACCTAAGCATGGAGTGGTTAGCTGTCACCCAGTCAACTGATGCCAGGTCTACAACTGTCCATCTATAGAGCCAGTGCCCACCAAAGCCAGTGGGGCTTCAGCCCAGGCTTCTTCCTCTAAGTGCCAGAGATGCCAAAACCCCCACCACC